TAACATTATAAATCGCAATGCCAACGTTACCGAACTCTCTTCTAAGACAATTGTATTTTTTTGTTTGTTATTTCCTACCATGATGAGAAGAGTGATACTTACGAAATGAATATCATAGATGGTGCTAGCGCAACTAATCTAGGCACTCACCGTATCCCTACCTCCGAACTTTCATTCGCTCGCTCATTTGATTTTGATGTCCCAGTTATGGAGTCACAAGTCAAAGATATAATTGACAAAACATCCGAAGACGGTTACACTTACTACAAGACCCGTTTTATGGATGGGACAGTGGCTTGGCTAACCTCCGATGCGTTTCGTGAATCTCGCGACTTCCTTCGTATTTTTAATAAGAAATGGAATAAGATAAACGGAAAGGATTTCCTCAGGTGACTACAAACCTGGATGGATCTGAAATTCCCTATTTGCCACCTACTTCCTATGTGAATAAACTTTCTGATCTGCTTACCAACAGAGCAGAAATTTATTCCGAGCTTACTTACTAATGAAGAATAACCTTTGGCTATTACCTTACCAAGTAATAAACGTAAGGTGCCTACATCGGAAATGGTTACTGGACCAAATACTAAACGACATAGAGTACAACATGAGTCTTGAACTCGTACATATAGGCGCATGCTTACTCGATAAGCCATGACCGAAACCGTTTTACTTTGGTTTTTGCTTTACGAACTAGATCGTACCTTCACGTACGTCCGTAGTCCTAAAAGCTACTGGGGGCTATGTAGAAATACGGCCTCCGGTCAGTCTAAAATATCAAGATCAAATGAGATAACACATTATTTTATTTGTATTTAAAATACTTTAATACAAGTTCTTTTTCCAATATTTCCAAAGTGTTCTAAATTCACTTTGATGGCTCCAATAACCTGAGTATTTGGTATGACTCAGATACTTGGGCCTATTTGAGACGATAGTAGATGTAGGATATTATAAACTAAATTTTATATTCTCTGAACTACTACTTACAGGTTTTGGTTTTCCCGCCAATCTCCAAAATCCAACAAGTCTTTTTCTTTTTTTTAACTTTTCTTCAGATGGAACTTTATTTATATTAGTTAATGTATTAACTTGACTTATGTTCTTATGTCGATCTACAAATTAGACACGCGGTCATGAACACTTAGTACTTCTAGTGAAAATTATTCAATAAAGAACAGCTAGAGGTACGTCCTGTGTGAACGAGGATATTAAGGCACTTACCAAGAGGCAGTCACGATCATTCTTACAAAAGCTACCACTGCTAAATCCTAACTGACTTAAATTGTATCTTAGTTTATATAACATTGTTTAAAACATAGAAATATCCATCGAAGTTTACATACACGGGTCATTTGCTCCGTATTGATGGGCTCATCGCATTCTTTTGAACAGGAATACCAGAACACGAAGCCATGACCCTTGACCGCTAGATGCCCGACGTCATTAAAATATACCGATATCGAGAGATGAAGCTAAAGCTCTCAATGATTTCATCATCAACAATGGCTGGCATGTGTGTGTCCTATGATAAAGACATCCCACGGATACCCTACAGTTTTCGTGACGCCCCGGTTAACCCTTAGTCCAACTGATCCTATCATTTGACGCACGACTACGAGCTGCCAAACAACTCTGTATTCTATCCGGCTGCGCCGTCCTGTCTTGCTTTGCTGGGAGTGTTACCGACACTATCAGGCCTGCAAGTTCAACGACGCCAACGGCAAACACCAATTTAGCAAACGATTCAAGTTTTATAGCAGTTACTCTCCGAATTTTGTCACCGCCATTGTGGTCTTTTTTATGTTGAGAATATGATGTTCGTCTGCTACTTGTGTATTTTACAGTTTGACTTTGTAGACAGGCCAATAGATAGCTCACGCATTACCTTCTTGTCTGTGTATCCCTTCTACTTCTTTGGATTCTTCCATACTGCACTATATCCGTCTTTAAAGTTGCGTTTTGGTTTTGCACAGTTAGGCCGGAGGTGCATTTACATCCTATAGCAGTGAATCAACGATTGGTTAATAAATAGGACTTTTGAGTACGTAAACTACCTCACTAATCTTTTCACGCAAAATTAAAGTGAACTTTATACTTACTTATTTCAACCGGACAAGAATTTTGTCTCCTACCAAAAAACCTTTGTTAAAAGAAATCTGAAAATTGGACAAACCAATGCGGCTACCCCATTGCCTCATGACATTTAATACCTATATTTTAACGAAAGACTTTAATCGGTTATACATGCCCTTAGTATGACAGGACCCTAAAATAGTTCCGGCCGGAGGTCGTTCAATTTTTGTGCCTATTTGGAGACTTGAGCGCTCTCCAAGATTCGATATATTGAATCTGTGGCTGTGACAGATGAATCTTAGTACTGATAACGACTCGATGTCCTCCATGCTGTTCTTTACTATGTTCATTATAAGTGTACCACAGAGTGGATTCACTAGTTTTTCGTGTCTCTTTCACATATATACAAGGTAGGGTTTCAGGCAAAAAGTGAGGACTGGTGTATAATCAAATAATCAGAGAGAAAGATAATTTACTGTAAAGTAGGACATGTTTAGATCGATTAACGACACATACTACACGCCAAATGCTCGGTTAGGCGCGTCACTTCATCCATGGCATATCTGCCGCAGACGGTTTGAGAGTTGGATTGTACTCAGACACAGGTAGTATCGTGGTACCAAAAGTAGAAGCTAACACCAGAAGTACTGACCATAGTATATAGTGGAATAGTGAAATACATAGAGTTGAAATTGGCGTTACAGCGTTGGACCAGTACTCTTTGGTCGGATGCATATTCAAGTCACAATATTACAACAGACTCTCCGATATGCCTTTCAACATCACAACAGGCGCTCAGATATGCCTTTCGATATCCCAGCAGGTACTCAGATATGCCTAGCAAAGCTTAATATTGCGAGGTTTGTCCCCATAGTGTAATATCACATGAGTGGACAAAAGTGTGTGCGAATGATAATTGGTGAGCACACAGCCTCTCAATATACAGGTTTGTGGTCCAAGGATGACACTGCTGTGTTTTATATTTTGTAACATTGAAACTCGGAAAGTTTGGAACTTTATGTCGTACAAAGGGCTATGGCACAACTGTATTTTATCTGACACTGAAAACGTGAGCTTGGAAGTCCCTCCAGACTTTATTGACTTTTTTTTTTTGTCTGTTACAAAATTTCCTATATATAGGCCCCTAAGCAAAATTACGTTCTGTAGAAATAAGCCTACAAAAAGGCCCATTGAAGAAATCTAAACCAATTAATGAAAACTTCGTGTGCGAAAGGGTTTAACGCGTTGAATGGAAAGTGAAAGGGTTGTCAGTTGTGAAGCACTGGCTACCTTATTGTTAGTCATCAAAATCACAACTATTTATTTAAAAGTTAGGACGTTTCCTCAATAACAGTTTCGACGGTTTCAGTCCCCATATTGGAGACATGCTTTATTATAGAGCCAGTAAAAACACGTCGGTCACATTGCATTCTGCGCGTTCATCAGTCAATAAACGTATGCTGCTATCGACAACTGTTTTGGCAACTATCTTCGACTGTATCTATGTTAACTATTCTAAACGTAGTTTTATTTACTGCAGTTCCAGCCTTTGCGCATGTTTAGTATCATCTTGGGAGACGCTGGGATGCAACTCGGAGTGATTATGACAGTAGGGCAATTTCGCTTGATAATATCAGGGTTTGGAAAGCGCTGTTAGATTTCCATTGCAATATGACAGGCCGGTAGTATTTTGGAAATATTAATACATATACTACTAAAATAGTCAATATACTGTACGAAATATTCTACGAATTGAATAGACGTTCAATCCTTCGAAAAACTAATAAAAATGTACACACAATTGAATTGCCATTTACCAAATCTTGTCAGAGCTCGTTTATCAGGGTGCAATCAGGAGTATATAGGTCATTGGCACCCTTCCAACCTTTCTTTGCAGCAGATCAGAGTTTTCTCACATTTGTGCTACTCTCTCGTATAAACATTACACATTAAAATCGCCTCAGCAAAGTAAAACACTGATCACGAGGTCGTTTTCCAGGCCCAAGAGTAAATTCTGAGCATCATGCGGCGTAACTACTCGATAGACTCGTAACCGCCGCCTCTACTCCAGTCAGATTGCACCGATTTATAGCAGCCAATGACCATTGCACCTGCCGCCAAGACGACAAACAGCGAAATCAGACCCCACGCCCAGCTCGGAAGCCCAGAGTCAACTTTTACCTCGGGTCTGTTGTTTTGATGATAAAATAAGGGTATTTGCATAAGTATCATTTTGAGTTTGGATACATTCAGCACACAAGAGTGTTCGCTCACTATCCACCACCACACATGACACTCTCGAGTATACCCACTTGAACTTGCAGTAGGCTTTAATAGGAATATGCGGTGTCTTATTTATACACAGATTCCCATTATAAAACAAAATACAGTCGATTCACAATTCGAAGCCTACAGCGTGTACACATCCAAAACATCAAGATCGCCAATTAGAGCATGCAAGTATACCGATACTCACGCATTATTACATTCTCTATCACCTCTAGAATGGCCTGTATTAATTCATGAGGTTAGCAGATACTTACACGTCGATCATGCTGTTCACCATCTGCTCGCACAGTTGCGAGAACCGCTTCTTCTTCGGTAGCGATTGTTGCCATTGCGTGAGTTTTATCCATTGCTCGTTCATGAGTCCTTTCTGTTCGTTGGCTTTGTCTGTTTTGCCTTTTGACCTGAAGTGCGTGTACAGCTCCAAGGGGTTCTTCAGCTGCGCACGAAAAAGAGGGAATACCATTGCTTATGGTACTGTACGATAAAACGCGTTGAACTACGTACCGAGACAAGTAAATACATGGCAAACAATGCGATTGTGTTATATCATCAACCTATGCAAACAATTTCAATTAAAAAAATAAAATAAAGTACCATAATATTTCTCCCAGCTGTCCTGCATACACATCATTCACGAGCACCGATTTATGTCAAAGGCTACATGCGTGTCTGTAGCAAAGGTTGGATCACCTACGCAAAACCACGTTACAAAACTCGAAAAATGCACAAACCTGGGTATAATGATCGTAAAAGTCGAGGGCTTCCACCATCAACGCTTTGCCTTCGGCGGGATCCTTCCATATTTCGGGGAAGAATCCTTGAGTGAAATTGAAGGCACGCACCAGCTTTCGCACATCGTGCACCTGAGATTCAGAAGCGTGGGGGTTGTGTTTATTAAGCGATATCAGATCGAGAGTCTTACATACTTTTGGTGGCTACGGTATAGGCCATCAGTGTGAAGTCTGAAAGACACTGACAGGCTCTGCCCTTTTAGAGCTCGTGTGCAGCACGCTTGCCAATCAATTTGGCGAAATCAACCCTCATATCCCTGTAGACATATATTCTCGCAAGGTGCCACATTTTGATCGTCGAGCAGATGCCACAGTAAGAAAGGAACACAGTGGTACTGAACAAGACCTGCATGCAGACAAACAATCTAATGTGGTGAGAAGTGATCTTCAGTGGCAATCACTCGATTGAAAGCTTGCTAAGATTCGCCATTATAAAGCATCGGGCGGGGTGCTTTGTTTCTTTTCCAATTGCACTTGACAATGTACATAGCCATTAAGACCATGGTCTATGTCGCTTCTGAATTCTAGTATCCTAGCCCTAGATAGACATGATCCCAGGGCAATTCGGAACCCCGATTCGCCTGCATTCCATTAATTACTTTTCTTATGAACAAAACAACACTCTCTGCGTACAACAAACCTAGCCCACAGCTAAACGTTAAGACGAAAAGCTTTCAGGGCCTTTGCGGTTTTAATTTAAGACATAAAACTAGTATTGTCTATATGAGAATTCGACATCACCACCACTAAACCCTAAAACAAACAACCCTATACGCACTACCTACCTCGACAAACCTTCTCCCCAAATCTTCCACCGACCAATCCTTCACCGCAATCCAATTGTTGGCCGCCGTGCGCATGTACACCTTAAATGGAAGGAGAAGGATAGATCACGTCAGACGAGGACATTCTCTGCACTCCAGGCTCAAGAGGCAAGCAGGTCCAATCTTCATATAGCATGGATCGTAGTGAGCATACCCACGTTACCAGACGTCGAACAGCAGTACTATAAAGTAGCTAGGTCCACTGAATCGTCTACCCGCCAACGTATATCAAATCGGTAAGTGGATCACTATTGTGCACACGTGTGACGTACCACCGACTGATTTATTCATTCGTGAGCACAAGCAGGGCAAACATACCTGATTCATGGCAGCTATGTTCTGCATGCCAGTGAGGGTTTCACTGGGTATCTCATCAGGCATGCTCTGCCAAAAGATCGCACTCAACTCGTAGTGCGACCGCCGGTACATACGGTGTTCCAAGGGGCGGGATAAGTACTTTTGCCATCTGAGGTGGATAGGGGTTTGCGCTTATCAACAGTATAAGCCCGAGCTCGCGGTTGTGAGTAGTTAGAGTTCTAGAAGGCTGGTTCCGCAGGGTGTTTTGATATAGTGTGCTGTTTAACAAAGAAAGTGTGCACTACGATGGTCTGTGGCACTTGTGTGCGCCGCGCCAGGTAGCTGCTGAAACAGAACGATAGACTACCGAACTGGGCGTCAGGTTTGGTGGCTATGCGACATTTAATATAGTATGTATGGTGTGTATAGTATATATGGTATGTAGGGTGTGTATAGTGTATATTATGTTTGGTATATATAGTGTATATAGTGTATATGGCAGGCACGTATGGTATGTATAGTATAGATGCTATGTATGGTGTATAGAGTATATATGGTATGTATGGTATATATGGTTAGTGTGGTGTGTATTGTGTAGTATTTATAGTATATATGGTGTATATAGTATATATGGTATGTATGGTGTAATGTTGTATTTATTATATGTGGTATGAATAATGCACAGATCATATATGGTATAAATAGTGCACATTATATATAGTACGCATGGTATATATCATGTGTCTGTAAGATTGAGAAACGTGCGGTGTCTCTGCATAAACAATGCACATAACAGCCCAGACAGACCTCAACAGAACAGATTGTTTCCTATTATCCTCACTTCGCGCCAGCAGCACATAATACTGAGTAGTACAAGTGGATAGAGACTGTCTAAGCATTGCGGACAGGGAATATGCGAAAGTGGATATAGATGATACGTAAATTTCATCCTAGCAACCACAATTTTGTCAACTGCTTTAAAGATATTCCAAAAGTTCCACCCGAGTAGCCACTAACGCGCCAGAGACACAAGTACACCGCCATTGCTGCGTGACTGCCTATCGTTTCTATCTCTGTGAACGAACAGATGGTCATACCTGGTGGTGTTCATGCCCTTGGAGAATGCTGTTAGTTCATCTGAAATCTTATCGCGTAAGATACGCTCTTCTTCTTCCCCAATCGCCATTCGTCGCCCGTCTTTCATCTCACCTGCGGGTGATGGTAATTGGTTGTCAATTACCACACTTTTGAACCAATTGCTACGGTTTAAATAGACTACTGCGCTGCAAGACAAAGACTATACTTAAAACCAAATACGACTCTCAATCAAGAACTACATTATAAATCAAATACTATAGTACGTGCCCATTCTCATATCAGATATCGCGGCAGAGGCAGTCTGATATATGTACATGCTACGCCGAATACGTAAATTGTGATCGAGCATAAACGTACGCACGGCGACCGACCACCATACATCTCAGCCAGCCATTGTACCTGTGTCGTGATGGATGTTTTTGATATGTTTGTGTATCATTCTATAGGCGTCTTGACCTTCCATCACCTCATACGGATAGGCGAAGGCAAACAGATCAAAATAGTCCCGCGTTGCTTCCAGAGCCTGTCAGCAGGGAGTGGTGACACGTGCGAGTGTCAGTCAGTGTCATAGACCGCAGTAGCGCCAAACCTTTGTGATCCGATTAACTTCAACTCTTGCACAAGGCACGGTCCAATTGGTGAATACCACATTCTTGAACAGATGGATGTATGAGTGGATACGAATAGGTACTCGCCGCTTGGCATATATGATGCAAAAGTATCACAATGTGTGTACAGCCTGGTCTACCGGACACCGTGATCACACATCTACAAGGCATACTATCTCATGAGTGTGGTGGTCAACTGGTAGCCTCCTTATACTTGGTAGAGCTACACGCCAAACTATACTATGTAGGCAAATATGCGTACGCTACAGTAATTGAACACAGATACAGACCGGCGTGTTGAACCATGCTTGATGTAATAAGAAACAGTTCGGTACAAAAAAGTGGTACTACGCCATCTACTGGGGCTGGTCCATGATCTGCATTCCCAGCACACGTGCATGAGAGCATCCCATACGCTGCCACTGCGTAAGAATGGTATTGCATATGTGTGACATAGACTCACCTTGCGGTAATGCTTGAGCTCGTTGTTGTCAGGGTTTATTTCAGTGTCTGGTTTGAGCAGCCATTCATTGGTCGACGCCTATGAGAGAGGGAGCCAAGGTACAGTTGAAGCAAACGAATCAATTGTCCTGAAAATTAACGGTCACCTATTTGTGCATACATGAAACATACACAAATAGGCTAGAAAAAAACACCACACACTCACACATATATATATACATACATACATACATACATATATATATAAATATATAAATATACATATATATATATAAATATCGATATATATATATATATATATATATATATATATATATATAGTAATAAACACACACACACACACATATATATATATATATATATATATATATAGTATATATATATATATATATATATGCATATATATATATATATAAATATATATATACATGTATACAAACACATATAAATATATAATAGTATACATACAGACATACATATACTGGGATACATCTACACATACAGATACACACATGCCCACCATATGGAAAATAAGTATCTAATAGTGTATTTTTATGTAGATCTACTCTCGACCTCCTAAAATTTACGCACACGTATACATTCTGAAAGATCCTGAGCATCATTCTTTCTCAAATTGGATTTGGTACATATCGGTAGAGCTCAGCAACATTTTTTGACGGCATATAACCAAGTATATCAAGCTTATAAAATTCTAATGCTTTCTAAACGTCACAGCAGCCGAACTGATGCACTTCAGGCTTATAGAAACTATACAAATACAGTTAAACATACGTGTAAGTTCTGGAACTCAGGCCATACTCGTGCCTTGGCGACCTCTCCATACGTCATATTGTAGATGTCCTTATGACGGTTGTCAACTACCTCTGAAACCTCCCCTGCGGCAGGGCTAGCATCAGCAGCCAGAGCTAAGGTTAAAAGTGCGATACACACCCCCATACTTGTTTTCCGGTCGCAGTCCAATCCCTACTCAGTTACTGTATGTTCTCGCGCTCGATATAGATCGTATTTATCTTTTAAAATAATAATTGTGAAGTAAACAATAAGAACTAAATGGCTGATATAGGTTCATCGAGATATCAACAACATCATGTGCGTCTTCTTGTTTTAAAAACTAGTAAATAAGTATCAAGAACCAAGACCAAATTTGGACTCTTCGGACGACGATAAGAGGAGTGGACACACCCTCAATACGTTTTTCATTTAGAAAAAATATATGCACTTACGCTTGGAATGTATGTAGGTTTAAATTCAACGTTTATATAGTGATGGCCCTAAGATAATCACTATGAACGCACTATCGGATCCTCTAGGTGCGAAGTTTCCATAAGATTTCATAGAGTGTCCGTTTAGTTTACAATATAGGTAGATTTTTAACTGGCTTTTGAGTTTTGACTCGTAGAAACGTGCTCAAGCATAAAAATCGAATAAATATAAGCGTTTACGTTCAGCTTTAAAAAAAATAAAATATGGTACCTCTTTCTAAAAAAGAAAGAAGTGTGATAAATTAAGAGTAAATAATAGCAAATATTTCAAAAAAGTGAATATAAAAATGATAAATACGTACTCGCCGACTCCGGCGACGACGTCTGTTTACATTCTACAATCCCTTTCAGCAGCAGTGAAATCACTGAAGTCCAAATGAGTCAAATCACTATTTACAACACAATTCCCCAGCAGTAAATATTCCAGTTTCCACACCACACCCATACTTTCCACAATCCACACACGCACAACATATGTGTCATATCAATATGTGTAAATAGTGACTAAAAACATACACACCACACACGCAAAAGAGAGAGAGAGAGAGAGAGAGAGAGAGAGAGGAGGGAGACTCTCTACTAGAGTCTGAGAGTCCCTCTGACTGTTCACTACTACAGCGCAACGCACAGCACAGTGAGCAGACTGAGCAGTGAGTACACACACACACACACACTCAGAACTGAGAACTCACACAGAGTGAGAGTACTCACCAAAAATCAATTGACTGTGTAAATAATATGTACATTATTATTTTTAGAGTATCCAGTAAATCCACAGTGATTTCCCACACCATAGAAACGTGCACTATTCATTAGTTAAAAAAATATTTCTCAGCAAGGGCCCGGGCCCCGGGGGGCACAAACACTGTGATGGTCGATGGGACCCCGTGTTTTAGGTTTGTGGCCCTGAGGCTGGGCCGCTGGGGTCTGGAGGCTGGGTCTGTACTCTGTAGTCTGTAGCCTGTACTCTCATTCCGAGTCTGTAGTCTGTACATACTCTCATTCTGAGTCCGTAGTCTGTACATACTCTCATTCTGAGTCTGTAGTCTGTACATACTCTCACTCTGAGTCTGTCGTCTGTACTCTCATTTTGAGTCTGTATGGGGCAGTCTATACTCTTTAATCTCGAACCGTTTCTCGTAGAAACTTTTATAAATCGAATAAATATACGTTTACGTTTAACTTTTATTCCGATTGTCCTCTGTATTTTCTTACGTGCACTTTGCGCCTTGCAGTTGCGGCCTTGCGGGTCTAAAAATGTTCTTTTTTAGGAGGCCATGTAAAAATTCAAGTGTCTAGCTATTTATTTCGTTTGACTCTCGGAATAATGAACCACAATACGTCTATTAAAAACAACGGTGTTGTGTTTGCCGCCATATTGCTTTGAAGGACATTATACCTTGCCTTCTGAAAGTTTGTTTAATTTTCAGAAGGCTATGATTGTATACACAATAAATAGGCAAAGGTAATCACTAATCAGACCATCCCTATCCTTTTGACAAAACTTTTATTATTTTAAATACATAACATAGGCAGAATAGAAGATATACGTTAAACTTGGTGCTACGTTGCTGGACGTGTATCTATCTCTGACAGGGCCACAAGATCTGCCGTTTCATTACTAGAACTAGCTTCTGAAATGCATATATCATCACAGGGGAAATCTTTTTCTGCCCCACTTTCCTTCGATATAGGTATCTCTATATGGGATCCAAAATCTATACCGAATACGCCCTTTGTAGTGTTGGCCTCCACTATAGCCAAGTACTCTTTGTTGTATGTTAATTCTTGTTTAGCCCTGTCAGAGAGCGGTATTACTTGCTCCATGGCTTCCCATCTCACTCGCTTACCTGAGGGTCTATGTATCACATTTCCGAAAAATAAAGCCCGGGACACCACAGCCAGTCCGATATGTTCTCTATCGTTTATATACGCTTCTAGATCATTTTTGAGCGTCCGAAATTGACCTGCAATGGCGTCGATAGGCTTAGTCATGTTCGTCAAGCATTGGAATTAAGCATTCTGTCATATAGCCACAAAGATAAGAGTCCAAGAATTCGAAACCCTAAATTGAGGAGACACTTTTTTGTATACTAAGGTACTTTCACTTACCTTCAAATTCTGGGTTTAAGAATGTGCAATCGGGCATGGTAGAATACATGACAGCGTTGTGAAAATACAGCGGGCTATTAACTATCGTATCCTTATCCTTAGCAAATTTATTCATCAACCGCGCCATGGGCTTCAAAAGCCCCAATCCTGGGTATTGTTGACCGGGAAGTGCAACTTTTACATCAGACGGGAGTTTCTCAGAAATTTTCTGCATGACCACCCATTCCACACACAAATTGTCCATGCTTAGCAGACTAGCGCGCTGCATCCAGTTCAATGTACGCTTGTGGCTTTCAATCCTTTCACTTCGCTTTTGTTTGCTGCCTACTTTGCATTTGATACCCTCAGCCAAATCTATTGCCAGCATCATGGCGCGCGAACGATCAAGAGAAAAGGTTTGTCGTACTGCCAACTCGATGATTGGTGGCAGCCATGTCGGCACTTTTATATTGTCTTTAGTTAGAGGGTGATTGGTAAAACTTTTATGATCTACATAGTAAGGTAGGATGTTATCGCTACACGGCAGCTGTAGCTTTAAACCATGATTATTTCTGCCGTCAGCGTCGTTGTTTTGTACAGAGAGATCGTAAACACGAAGCCTATCTACCGCCAGACCGGTGAGGTCTAACGCAACTACTTGCTTGACGTATCCCAGTTTCTCCAACGAAAATTTGGCCTGCGAGTCTTGCAGTAGGCGCTCGATATCGTCTACGGAGAACTTATCAATAAACATATCTCTCCCTGTGCGCCCGGGCAGCAAGTCTTTGTCTGTAATGTCTATAACTATTTCTGACGCTGAAAATAGTTTGTCGGACTCGTAGTAGCCTGCTATAGATGCCGCTGCGCCCGCAGCGACGGCCACAACCGCCTTGGAGATGCGGCTTGGTACATTCATGATTTCATGACTAATCTGTACTTTGAAACGAGGCAAAAGGTATAATATGTAAATACATCTAAAAATGCATTGATTTTAATTATCATGTATATGTAATTTTTTTCGTGGCAGGCCGGCAGGCTGGCAGGAGGGGAGAAAGAAAGTGCCAAGTTCACATATTGACCACAAATACATAGGCAAGTCAAAAATGTCCAGTCTCGATTTTTAAAACGGCCACTTTCCTCATTTCTGAATTTATCTCAAATTTCCCAACTTGTTTCCGTTTAAAATCGGCTATAGTACATAGCCAAAAAAATGGGAATTTTCCAAACACGGTTTTGTTTACATGATGGGTTCCCGAAATTTCCCATGATTGTCATATTTTTAGGTGCTACAAGGGATTTCCACATTCCTGTTCATGAAAAATCGTATATATCCGGTATCTCATTGAATACTGAACATATTTTGCTCAATGTATAACCACTGAAATTCTGAAATAATATTATCCAATCCCTGGACCTCAGCCAGTACGATATGTCTGAACTTCAACCATTGGCACTTTGATTGCGTAAAATCAGATTTCCGATCTGGGTAACCGTCGGATTAATGCCTAAATAAATGGTTTATCTCCATACTCGGGCCTCGGCCTCTGGGCTCTGGCTTCTGCCCTCAGTGAGGCCCAGAAACTCTGGGTCAATTTGTACCGGAGTCAAAACAAAAAGAACAACAAAATTATAGGTCATATTTCATAAGTTCGTACACTTCATAGCCTGCCTTCTATTCAAACATATTTTATAAAACCTAATTGATTTTTATAGAACAAAAACAAGATATATAATAAGCGTTATATTTAAAAAAAAAATACAGTAAATAGGTGACGTAGTTCTAACCTCTTTTTATGTCCACCTCTTTAAAAGATGTCTACCTCTTTTTATGTCCAGGTTTTACTTGGGCCGACCCATATATGAATCAGGCCCTTTTGAAGGCCGGTCCATCGAGTAATCAACGTCAGGTGCACACAAGTGTGCTGGTTGCGACCGCAATAAGCATGCAATTTGTGGCATGCTTGTCTACAGATAAATGTCAGGCACCAGATTATCGTGGTGATTCTTTGTTCTACAATGGTGCCTTTGGTAGCTCCGCATCTGTCCCACAAATCAGTCCCTGAACCTGGTAGGGTGAACCTGACCCAGGCGTGTCTACCTCTTTATATGCCCAATTGTTTGCTAAAAGTGGGAACCGGCCACAAGCATTTTATATTTTTGAAAAAAAAAATGAAAAGAAAAAGGCGCCATAATCAGTGGTGTGATAACTGATAAGTGATCAGCCAGATAAGTGTATTTCGGCGGTTTTTATAATTTATTTGAGACGCGACCTGCAAGTGCTTTCACCAGTATATTTCAGCGTTACTTTTCAATTGTTTGACATCGCTTACTCAGTATATTAGAGCGAAAGCGGTCGTGTATCTATATCCGACAACGTCAGTACAGAGGTTTCATACTCGGAGACATCTTCGGCGGTACTATCAAGACCGAAATCGATCGTGAATACCCCTGAGGTCGTGTTGGCTTCAACTATCCCTATGTACTCCTTGTCCTCTACGATAGCTTCTCTGGCTCGATCAGATAACGGTATAATCTGCTCCATGGCTTCCCACCTCACTCTTCTCCCTGATGGTGTATGTAGGACGCTCCCATAGAACAACGCTCGTGAAACGACTGCCAGCCCATAATTCTTGGTGTCCTGAATATACACATCTAAATCGTTGAACAACGTTCGGAATTGCCCTGTGAAATAAAAAGGAATTTGGTGTCAAATGAGGTTCACAATACAGCGCAAATAGAATTCTCAGTCTCGCTCCACACAATTCCAAATGATCGAACCGCATACCTTCGAATTCAGGATTCAAGAAAACACACCCAGGCATGCGAGTGTACATGAGGGCGTTGTGGAAGTATAGCGGCGAATTCATAGCCGCGTCCTTTCCTTGAGCAAACTTCTTCAGCATACCAGACATTGGGTTCATCACTCCCAATCCCGGCCACTGTTGCCCAGGAAGTACATGTGTAAGATCTGTGTCGAGCCTCTTAGTCACATTCTGTATCAGCACCCACTCGACAGCCAGATACTTTAGCCCTATATTGCTCGTCCGTTGCATCCATTCAAGTGTACGTTGATAGTCAAACGCACGATGTTCAGGATCCCGATTTTCGCTTTTCCTTTTCTGGCCACTTTGCAGTTGTTTCGCCATGGCCATCGCATGAGATCGGTCAAACTCGAATTTATTCCTCACAGCGAATTCGAACAAGGGCGGCAACCATTCGGGCGTCTTCTGTCCAGTACTTGTTAAGGGTAGATGGGTGAAATTCTCATGGTCTACGTGGTACGGTAATATGTTATCAGCGGTTGGAGGTTGTAGAGTCAATTTAGTTTCCAAGCCATGCACACTATCTTGCTGTATCGAGACATCGTATATCCGGAGCTTGTCCACCGCTAAGCCGGTCAGATCGAGAGCCAAGACTAGATCATGGAATCCTCTTTCAGCCAAAGCTTTTGTGGTCCCCGTTTCTTCTAACATATGCTCAAGTTCATTCACACTGTACTCATTTATGAATTTTTCTCTACCGCTACTTCCTGGCAAGAGATCCTCCTCATTCAAATTGAATGACAAATCTTTCATATCAAAGGAATTGCTTGTTGAGACAAAACTAGCCAGTCCTGCTAATGCAGTAGTAAATACAGCAGAAAATTTTCTTGACCCTCTTCTGAAGGTGTCAAGTGACCGCGAGTTCTCACTTGATGAGGCTATTAAAGCTTTTTTTCCGCAACTTGTATTACAGTTAACATATGTGTCCTCTACTTTGCAGGCTGGCGATGTAGACGTCGTTGCAGCCGCGAGTATTTTTTGTTTATCAATATCAATGATGGCAGGCCGCTTTGGATCATCCTTTTTGTGAAAGAAATGTCTAACAGACCGATAATGGTGCTCATGATAATGTTTGTTACATTTTTTATCGTTGTTGATCGTGTGTGTGGGTTGATTTTCGGTATCACTATCGGATGAGTTTTCGTTTTCTTCCCATGTTGAATTCTTTTGTGATGTGAAACATGTGTGTCCAACCGATAAGTTGCTTGCGCGTGCTCCATGCGATGACTGTGTTGCGTGTACTTTGTGCGATTCACTGTGTCTCAGTGAAATTCCATTTTCCTTGTCGTAGGGATTTGGCGATGTTAGAGTTCTTTGATGAACCATGCTAAAGGACGAGGCTACGGGCGGCGTACTTGAGACGAACACTTCCATATTGGATGGATATTTCATATTGTGCCAAGTATCTATTTTATTTATTCATCTCGTATTTCATTTATATATCCTTCAATTTGACAATTTGGTATACAATATATTGTGCACGAAGAAAAGGTCAAAAGGAAGCATCCGGTTGGAACTTTTGCGATGTGAGCACCTTCAGGTGAGCACGGGTTTCGCACTGTTTTGGTCAATACTCGAGTCTTTTTTTTTAGAGAACAAAATTGCTGCTAGTATTCCTGTTCTCGATTCTGGGTGGCTATGGGTATCACGGTAGGTCGAATCCAAGAAGTTGCTCAATTTCTAATCGCCAGCATCATTTTACTGATTCACATTGTCATTGGCGAACAGACAATATAATAAGAAAAAAGGGTTCCCGTCTATATATCTACATCGTGACAGAACCACTCCCAACTCCTTACTCCTAAATTGTAGTCAAACAATACAACAAATCAATTTATTTAGTTATAAATTCTGGAACAAAAATAACGCCCGAAGGGCCAAGCTAAGGCCCCAGAGTCCAGATAGTCCCAGGCTCCCAGCCCCCAGGCCCCCAGCCCCCAGGCCCCCAGCCCCGAGGCCCCCAGCAGTGGCACAGCGGCCTATTTTTAAAAAATATTATGTGTAAATATGTATTTACTACTATTCGTAGTAGGCGGCGACGCGGCGTAACCCTCTGCCCAGTGCCCAGCGTCTAGCCCATTCCCAATTTTAAACAAGTCTAATAACCAGGGAATTCCTTTTTTAAAATATAATAAGGATCAAAATGGGTATATTTTTGTTATTTATAATTATTAAAACAATTGTTATAAAACGGAGGCCCAACCACTGACAAGCTTAGAGAGTGACAATCATCTATACACAACAAGAGAGGACAGCCAACAGACATCGATGACAATTTATTTATATTAAAATTCAGAGTATTTTATAACAAACGACACACAGGGCGAGAACTTGCCAACGGCGCCTCAGCAAGTCAACGGACTTCAAATGTCTCAACAACAAGAATCTCAATCACGCGTATCACAGTTTCTCACAATAGAATCGAGCTCGTGTAATTTGACCTTGTTGGATGAATGTTTAAAATTAAGATGGGGAGGAATCGAGGAAGTCTGCAGTCTGCACTCTGCAACAAGAGAGTGGCGGACAGAGTACAGACTCTCGGTCGGTCGGCCCTCGCCGCTCGCGGGGATCTCGGCCGGCCTGGCGGCTGGCGGCTGGCAACCTCTGGACGCTCGCGAGTACAATTGCGAACTTTGGAAGTTGTTCAATGATGGTTACGAAACATTCATATCACCAGACAGTCAGACACCCGTTCACCATTAAAAAAAACCCAGAAAACTCAAAGTTCATGACTAATAAGTAATAAATATTTACCTGCCCATGATGTCCGTCGAATTGTCGTTTTTTTCTTCTCAGGAACTGTTCTAAATATTATTTTTAAAATCAACAAATGACAAATATGCATTGGACCGGATCCAAAACTGCAAAAGTTCAATTTATGTATCTCAGGTATTCGTCCATGTTTTGGCAGATTCAGTTGGGTTTGCCAACATATTGGCATTTGGCGGGCTCCGTCGCCAAAGTAATGTAACGTACGAAAACGTATCCCGTTTACGCTAACGCTACGCTTAACATTTGCCAATCGACAATTCGACACGCCGTGCAAGAGAATGTTATTTTCTAGAAAAATAAATAAATAAAAGTATATAAATAAAAGTACATGCTGTATGTACTGTATGTATTGTTTTGTTTTCTTAAAAAATTATAAAACAAAAACAAATACATATTACGTGCTTCTTGTCCGAATGTCCGCTTGTTGTTGTTGTTGAAATTTTATATTTATATTTGATTTGGTTATAAGAAATGACTATGGAGAATTTAGAGACATGTGGCAGCTCAAAACTGGAATTGTGGAATAATGTGGATAAATATATAGATTGGTTTTATGTTTTGGTTGTTTTACCGTTCGAGAGAAAAAGTAAAAGATTTATGGTTTACCGTTTATGAAAGTATAAAAGTATTTTTTAAAATATGTTTACGAATCAGTGAATCACGTGGCACGCCCCAGGCCTCCAGCCCCCGGCTACCCAGAGTCCAGACCCGAGGACCCCAAGGCCCAGAGCCCCAGGCCCCAGGGCCAGTTGCCGCCTACAAAATGTTTTATAAAAAATATAAAGAAATAAAAAAAACAAAAATTTACCAGTAAATAGACTATGGATTCGATTTAATTGTTTTAAAGAGACCATTTGTGAGTTGACCCGTTACTACCGTAAAAAATGATGAATATTATAGCGGTTTAAAAAAAAAAGTTTACGACTATAAATTTGCTATAGGCGATAACCGATGGCACACAGAGTCAGCAAATCAAATAATTCAACTCCCAGGCGTGGAATGCCTAAGAGCAAAATGAACTACGTATTCTTTTGCGGTATGGCGTGCTTGAAGGAAGCGTCGCCTGCAAAATGGAATAGGCAGATTTATGATTTCACGTTCTGCTCTTTGTTTGTTCTATACTGGACAGCTTCATAAAGTCTCATCCTCATATCAGAATACAGCTACTGCTGATAATCACCTTGGTTTCATGGCCCTCTGGATTGGAGTCTCAGCGGAAATCAAGGTCGTAGCGGAAATCGTGAATTTAGCAGAGACCCTATGATAGCCTATCCAGATTCCAGAGGGCCTTGTTGGTTTGGCAACTACCTCTACAGTCGATGAAGATCGCGATAGTACGTGCAACTACTCGCGTGAATTTAAGTCTTTGCAGAAGATGACGTCTCCAACCATAGTGCGTACGAGGGATTTGAATACAGCCAACTGTGGCTAGAAAACGATCTTGTACTTGATGTCCTATATACTGCATTTGGTTTACAAGCCGTTATTGATCTTTGCGACATTCGCTTTTCCAAACAAATGCTCGCCTCAGAATGCGACAGGAAACCCAGGGTATTACCAAGCGTGCTATTCGATGCGTCTTTTGTGGTTCATGTACGCGATTGTGGTTGTGAACATCCCCATCAGGTCGACGCCATGGAAGAGCATATCGTCAGCCCTGAGTGGGTTAGCTCGCATGCATGATTTGGTCAATATCTTTGATGATGTTCCCGTACCAAATCAGACCTGCAGGTAGTCCAAGCACTATGCACGGTAACAATTCGCTCCTCTGTACCAACGCCTGCCTGGTGTTGATAAAATTTATATTTCTCGATATTGTGTATCGATGTTATATTCTCGGCATGATCTCGTTAAAGCTTTGGGACACTGAGATGGTTAGCGAAAGTTGACTTTCAACTGACGAATAAGTGCACTCCAAGCAGGGGCAGTCTGTAAATCGTGTACCTGAATCACTTATATTTTACCTGGGTGATGATCCTACTCTTGCCTCGAGTAGCTCCGCCCATCATCCTGGTTCGGGTCAGTACCAACTAGTCCATTGCAATTCTTGCAGAAAACTTTATAGTTGAAGATCTACCAATCAACTTCCAGCAGCTGGGAAACGAGTGTATCAGTCTACTGGCCCAAAAGCCATCACTATGCACTATCATCTTAATCTAGCCAATGTAGAGACCGGCCTGCGGGGTATGCAAAACGGCTTAGCTGCATATGCCAACTAAAGTCTGTCACCTGAACCTCTAGGCGTTTCTTCTTTTTGGCATAAGATGGAATTCCGTTGTCAAATAAGTGCAGCAACTCGTCAGTCCTGCATTTATCGAACCTTTCAGGTTCTTCAGTACCAATAGATAACTGACACTGCTATCTGACATTGCACTATTCCTAGTCTTTATACCACAAACATACAATGCATGCGGCGTAGGAGTTGTAGCGGTTGTCATATGCTGCTCGCTGTTGAATCATCCACCTGTTCTGAATTATTCATGTGTCGTCTATGTTAGTGACGACCGCCTCGTCCCAAGGACCAACGATCTGGCGTTTGTACTTCTGCGCGCGTATGAGAAGCGCCGGGGTTACGAAAGTAATTCCGCTCATAGCACATACATAGGTCAAGAGTGCGGGCATCGATGCTATGGGCACCAGCAGCAAAAAGGTCGATAGCACTACGAGTGTTGTGAGACTATGCGAGTATGCAGCACTTCCCTCAGCCAGCTTCGAACCCTATATCAGAAAAAAAAAGCGAAAGAGGTCGGCCATTGGGTGGTGGCGAGTGCAAATATGGGTATATGCTCGCTTTCACATGTATTTCGATAGAATAGATGTAAGTATAGCAGGAGGATGAAGTTTTATGACCAGAGAGTACAATAGTCTGTAGAGAATGAAGGTTCGATTGTACATGTAGCACATGTACGAATAGATTACCTTTGCTGGAGATTTTAGTGTATTTGAGCTAAACGAATCGTAATATACAGTGCATGTATAAACCCATAATGCATGCCAATAAATTTTCCGTATACAGACAAACGATTCTGTTAGAGATCTCTATTCAATACGTTCTCTCACACACAATTTTATTGATGCGTGGTATGTATCTACCTTCGCCTATGTAAACGTGGCCACACAATGTCAACAAATAAAAGCGGTATGTGAGATTCTAGGACTACGGCGAAAGTTGTGCAGATTGAATCGATACCTTAAACCTTTCATTCGCAACTGAATGTGGTCGAGACTACATACAATACTATTGAAACCAATACGTCAAACCTCCCAATAGCACCTGAATGCGGTGGAGACTACATACAATACTCTTAAAACCAATCCGTTCAACTTCCCATTAGCCCTTGAATGTGATTGAGACTACATAAAATACTATTGAAACCAATACGTTCTCCCAATAGCACCTGAATGCGTGGAGACTACATATAATACTATTGAAATCAATATATTAAGCCTCCCATTAGCACCTGGATGCGGTGGACACTACATACAATACTATTGAAACCAATAAGTTTAACCTCCCAACCCCAATAGCATCGGAATGTGGTTGAGAATACATACAATACTATTGAAACTAATACGTTAAACCTCCCATTAGCACCTGAATGCGGTGGAGACTACATACAACACTATTGAAACTAATACGTTTGACCCCCCATTAGCACCTGGATGCGGTGGACACTACATACAATACTATTGAAACCATTATGTTTAACCTCCCAACCCCAATAGCATCGGAATGTGTTTGAGGCTACATACAATACTATTGAAACTAATACACTAAACCTCCCATTAGCACCTGAATGCGGTGGAGACTATATACAACACTATTGAAACCAGTACGTTTAACCTCCCAATAGCACCTGAATGCGTGGAGACTACATACAAAACTGTTGAAGCGAATACAGCTAATCTCTCTTAGCCACTGAATACGGTGGAGACTACATACAATACTGAGGAGCCTTATAAACAAACAGAGCCACGATTGATGCAGGCGGAGGTATCACAAACAGCATAACCGTTGAGAAGCCAATCACGGTATAATGTGGGCGATATGGCGATAGAGATGTGTAGAGTAGTATATACGCGAACTCGACAAACAATAACCACTGGTGACGGTGGGGAGAATAGTATTGGACTGAAAGGTGTGCGCGACCAAACGCAATATAGTAAACTTTCGGGTACTTTGAGCTACCTCTCCAACACAGTACGATGCGCGCGTGATAAGAACTCATTGAAACAAGCCACATATAGCATACCAACATTGACCGGACGACATATGGCAGTAGCACAAACACCTCCACCGCAAAGGCCAGCAGAGCGAACCCCTCCAGGGCTGAATGTAGGCGAGACGCTAAGCACACCGACGCAAACATTGCCTCATTAATACCGGCCAGTGAGAGCTCCGGGAGGACCACCGAGAAGGGTGCTTGAGCTTTGTGTGCTGGAGATACACATGCATGCTGTATGTGTGGATGTGGGGTGTACGCTGAAGGTGTGAGTGCGAAGCCTGTGTGTGCGTGAGATGTACTTGACAGATGGGTACGTGTGAGAGGTGCCTCTGACTGGCCTGTGCCAGTCGTGGCAGCACGTGTCGATATGTGCTTATACCCTGGCGTCCGTGTATGTCCTTTCACACCACTCTTTTCATAAGCCGTGTGACCAGTATTGTACGTGGCCTCGGCCTCGTCGTCAGCTCGCTGTGGTTGCGAGCTTCCCTGAGCTACCAGCGCACCTTTCTGGGCTGGTACTGTCTTGGTACTATCGCTACCATGCACCCTATAATCTGTCCTTACCACATTCAGCATAAACATAAACGCAGCCATGCCGTAGATCGAATCGGTGCTCACGCTCGCGGTCAGTGTGGTTAGTACCGGCGAAACACCCAGTAGCAACAGCAACAACAATACGAATGTCTTGGCACTAGCCAGGAGATCGTATTCCGGCTGGATGGACGTGACGACGGGATGGTGAGTATTGTCAGCCATGTACTGGGACATGTACGTTGTTGAAGCAAATGGATTTTCAATACAGCTGGCAGTTGTGCGTGACTCAGAACTAGAGCCCCGAGTGCTGACTTCATGTGCTGTGTGAAGTTGTAGGGGATCACGCTCACCAAAATTTCTTTGCATTTGCGAATCCACATCGAAATTTCCAACAGCGCGAGAGTTATTCCCCTCTGATGGTTTATGTTGTGATCGGTTGAATGGGCCTGGTTTTCGCTCGCCGGCATCCAGTTCGCAAGACCGTGTTCTGTTTTCAATACCACTGCCAGTCATAGCTATAGGATCGGCACCAGCAACTGGATACTGTTTGGTATCGGCGAAGCCATACCGAAAGTATGACAGAAGCCCATACAGCACAGCCGCCAACACAAACACTACCGCCAAGAGCTCCTCTGCACTCACATCTTTCCGCATCATATACACGAACACGCTCACATACACAGTAATGATGCTCAGATGTCTCCCTATACTGCCGGTTGAGTGTAGCGCTTCGAAATAATTGTAGCTCTGTGTGTGCGTATTCAATCGCATGTGTTCCAGAAAGGTGTCATCGGTGTGGTTATCTGGATACGGTTGCTTTTTATACAGCACTCTCTGCCATCTTGTGGGTGTAGAATGTCGTTTCGTTGTGTCCATAATTGTGACTCTATATTACAGTCACCAGCTTAAGTTGGGAAATATGGACCTTGCCGCCACTTTTAATCCTTCACTGAATTGTACAAGACTAAGGTTAGGGAACGAGACCGACAACAGTATATTTATATGATACAGCACTATCCTGAAGTTGTTCATTTACATCGGCAGCTTTTGGACATTCTAAACTATAATTCAGTTGTTCATTTACATCGGCAGCTTTAGATTATTCTAAACTATTTTTTAGTTGTTCATTTACATCAGCAGCTTTAGGTTATTCTAACTATTCGTCAGCTGTTCAATTACATCGGTATTTATATGTGTGTAGGACTGTTGCCGTCAGAGATAATGCCATAATCATGTAGCACCGCAATAACTACTACATACATAACTACACAGGGTATGCATGTGTAGACATGTTCGACTCCTTGAACATACGTCGCGACCTAGCAGACGATATACTCTGCCCTGATATAAATAAATAAAATGTATTCAACTTACTTGATACATAGATCTTTATCTATTGTTTTTGTAGTCATAAATTATAACGTCTATTCGCCTTGCACACTCTATGTAGTATGGAAAAGTATAAACGTAGACAGAATTGAAATTGTATACGTTCTAACTCAAAAATGACTACAAACTACTCACTCGAGAAATACTCCCGCAGTTGAAATCCCAAAGCTACGTTTTTCATAATAATTTTAACGCGTTTTGTATTTTTGTTTAGAAAATAAAAAACCAAACCTAAAAAACGAGAAAAATAAATATACTATTTTTGATTCAGAAGGTTATGAAAATAAAATAAAATAAACACAACCGGTTTTCAACCGCGAGAGAGAGGAGGAGAGGAGTGAGGTCACGGAGGACCAGGAGTCAGAAAGCCGAAGCCCGAATAACATTTCGGAGTCAGCGGCCCGCCTTTTTGTATTTTAGGATTTTTAAACCAATCAGAATACTGTAATAGGTAATTTATAGCTCGCGCTATTTTGTACTCGGAGGTCTATAAACCAATAATAATGCTGTATTAGGTATGAAGTGCTCTTGTACATATTTGTCATTTGTGCCATTGTCCGTCTGTCACTGTCCTTCTCAAATCTGAAATCTTGCAGGCTTCTCAAATCTCAGCCCATAATCCTCAAATATCAGCCCTTGATCCACCATATTTATATATTTATGTTTATTCGCGATAAATATACGGAATAAACAATATTGATATTACAGTGGTACCAGCTAGAGAGGTTACGAGCCATCATTATTACTTATAGGATATTTGCGCAACATAAATAATCGGAAGATACTCTACTTGGTTGTGATCGAGGTACTATCTACTAAGTGAACAAATCTCACACACCCAAAGTCGACACAAAGATTTCCTTCGCGGGCCACTACCTACATTCGCATTCCAAAATCACAAGGAGAAGTCACATGGTTGTATGAATATACCGCATTTTTCAAGGAGTAAACTGCAACAAGCACATAGGCAGTTGAAACTTAACCCGAATGTGTGGGTACATGCTAGCCAGTCGCTTGGTTACACCGCAGAGAAAAACACCTTAGCAAACATATATATCAACAGGAGAGGTTACTATAGCCGGGTTAGAAATCTTAGGAAGAAAGTCATGTCCAGCCCAGCCCACGCATGTCTTCCTTCGGAGACGAATGATGGTGAGCATTACAAGATACCCTTTCACAAGGTAAGAGTGCCATCTAGCAGAGGCACACCGTTTACATATATACATACCTGCATGCATACATACATACATACATACGTACATACATACATACACACACACACACACACACACACACACACACACACACACACACACACACACACACACACACACACACA